GAGGGAGGGGGAAAATGAGCAACTGATATTAAGGGCTGAGGTGGAGAACAAATGTTTTGAGAATGATGAGGGCAGCGAATGTACATATGTGCTTGACACAATGGATGGATGTATGGATCGTGATGAGAATTGTACGAGCCCCCAATAAAATAATAATAAAAAAAGAAAATACACTTGTGCACGTCTTTGATTCTCAGTGACACCCATTTTTAAATGTTAACTTCTTTGCTTTTGGGATTTGATGTGACCACAAGCTGTTGTTTAGAAGTATAAACGAAGTAACAGCTGTGCTGAGTGCAAAGGAAAGTAACACTAATAACATCTAAACAGCACTCCAGTTTTGCCAGACTCTACTTCCCCAGCAGTCTGCGAAGGAGGGCTGCGTTGTGCATTGTAAGAAGTAGGCATCCGGGCTGTGGTGGGGGGGTCGGGGAGCAGACAGAAAAGGGGGAAGGAAGGAAGATCTTTTCAGTGGTAGGCCAGGTGGGATCCAGGTTTCCTGTTCTTAAATTCTTGGAGAGCTTTTTGAGTTCCAAGGACCCTTGTGAGTTCTAGGTCAGAGCAATCAATTCTGAAAACGGAGTTCACATGTGACAGCCACATGTGAAGTCTATTCACAAAACGTCCCCCGGCACACTTCCTCGTTATGACCTCTTCTTCTTCAACAGATGTGCTGTCAAGTGAGGAGATGTGGCAGTGGGAATCATTTTATTTGTACATGCTCAAATTGGCATAACCCCTGGTCTCTTGCTGCATCTTTACTTGTAAGGGAATGTCGCAGAAGATCTCTCAGGGAAAAGTTCTATTAACTTCAGCAAATTTAATTTGCACCCCAAAAACCACCCTCAGCCATCGAGTGGACTTGGACTCACAGCCACCGTCAAGGACATCGAAGAACCACACGCGTGGGTTTCTGAGACGGTGACTCTCCTTAGGAATAGAGATCGCCAGTGGCCATGAAGAGAGAACAGAAGTTAGTATCTGCCAATGTCCTGTGTTGGGCCTTCACTCCGTGCAAAAGTCTTCTATTTCTTAGGTGGTCCTTGACCATGATAACCCAGAAACAGGGTGGGAATTCCTCTCTCTCTTTCCAAATCATGGATACTGAGATGAACACTTTGATAGGGTACATCCTTTAAAGAGAGGCTGACACTCACCTATGAGTGAAGTCTGGGTGGCAAGGGCACTGCTTGTCACACTTGATGCCATAGAGCCCCTCTGCACACAGGCGTGCCTCGCAGCGCTCGCCGGCAAAGCCTGCTTCACAGAGGCATGCCCCACTCACGTGGTAACACTTTCCACCATTGATGCACTGGCAGGTCTCGGTGCAGCGAACCCCATATGTCCCAACTGGGCACTGGTCCTGGCATCTATCAGGCAGGGGGTAAGCGCAGAAGACAGGTTAGTGTACGCCGGATGAAAATACGTGGTCATTCAGAATGGCTTTGTCATGTATCACTAGAAACTATTTTTGGACTTGACGATCATTTAATAACTGTCCATCTATAGGGAAGAAAAGCAATAAAATTAATTTCTCCCTGAAAACATGATGCTGCCTGAAGTATGTCAGTTATAAAAGGGCAAACATTAGGTAAGCTATCTAGAACAGGTGAGTGTATGAAATCGATCAAAGTTTATTCGTGGTGACCAGGGGTTGGTGGCAGGGAGGCGGGGAGAAGCACTCAATCCTTAGGTGACACAGAGCTACTTCTTTTCAGGCTGATGTCACACTTTGAGAATGAGTATGAGGGATAGGTGGACAACATGATAAGCACAATGGCCCTATGCTGGACATGGGAAGATGATGGGAATGTCAATAATTGACATATTGATTTACAATAAGAAACCGTTTAAAATGCAATGACTCCTGACACTTCTCTGTGGTAGTAATAGCGGTGTGACCTGTTGACAGAAAACAGAACACCGACAAAACCCAAACAAAACCAAAATAAAAGACAATGACAAGCTTGAGAATAAAGCATCTTTATGTTGAAGGCATGTCCCCAAGAAAAGGGGACAAGAAATTGCCCCAACATTAGTGGCAGTCTATAATTAGTCTATGCTTTCTCCTATCATAGAGGAAATATAACAGCAAATGTGAAGCTGTAGTTTTATTTTCTTGGCTCTCATGTTGACACTCATTTTTAATCTCAGCTATGTTTCTGTTCCTGTCAAAGCTAAGTTTTCTTTCACAGATTTTAGACATCCTAACATATAGTTTGATGAGCCCTGGTGGCGTTGGTTTGCTTACCAAAAGGCGGTGGTTCAAACCCACCAGCTGCTCGACCGGGGAAAGAAGAGGTTATCTGATCCCGTCAGAATTTGCAGCCTTAGATACCCTATATAGGTGTTGGGTTGCTATCAGTTGGAATCATCTCAATGGCAGTGGATTAAGGTATGTTTGTTCCAAAAGACAAATTCTCCCAATCGACTCTTGAACCAACCATTAGAAAAACTTCAGGAGTAATTGAATTCATTTTTAACATAAAATTAAATATGTGCCTTATATTTGAGAACAGAAATGTGTGAGTGTGTGTGTTTTCACAGGTGCTCTTTCGATTGAACCTGTCAGGAGCTTTATGAGGCCAAGTCACTTGGTTTACTCCTTAAAGCTGTAAAATTTCAACAGAGGAATGCTGAGGTACAGCAATTTGGTCTCCTTGTGGTTTTTGCAGGAGGCTGGCAAGGCAAGTTTGCAACCTCTGTATTCAGACCTTCTTACAACCAATGTCAAAAAAAGAAAGAAAATGGTAAAATAATCTCACTTTCTTTCTCCTACATGGATAGAAAACAAACCCAAACATTAAGCTCTGGGCTGCCTGCATGATTTTAAGTCAATAAAAAGCACGGTCCTAAAAGTGATTTCATGTGGTATAAGATGGGAAGTCTGGGAGAAAGGCTGCTACCAAATTACAGAGAACCATTGTGTATATTTGATCTGTATCTTGGCAGAGAAAAGGGAAATGCATAATAGCTGGTCCTGAACCATATTTACCTTTTTAGCCTGTACTTAAACATACTGCTAATTTGTGTTATAAATGGCAAAAATTCATTTGAATTTTACTTTCAAGGACTAAATCAGCCATTATGTGAGCTCTAGTCATAATATCTCGTTCTTTCTCTCTCTTGCTCTCTTCTTGAGAATGTTGCACTTGAAAGAAAATCCCAACAATAATAGCTAGGTCCATTTCCACCTACTAAACCAAAATGGTAGAATATCTCTCTAGAAGTAGACATTTTTATCTTGAAAATAAATATAATTATGAAGTAGCTTCTGCCTTTCTGATCGACTGACATCAAAGTCTTTGTCAAGCAGACTCATCTCCCCTTTCAGCCCCTTTCTCTAAAAGAAGCACCATTTCCTGATGAATATTCAGCTTTTAATTAATGGTGATTTTGTAACTCAAAGTTTTTTTTTAAAAAGCTATCTTAGGAATCAGTGAAATTGGAAATACATTTTCTTAGAAGAGATGGCTCTGAGCCATAAAGATACAGCAATAAATATTGGTCACAGGCAAATTATGAAAGTTCAGGGTTTATTGTTTGTTGTTGTTGTTTGAAGTAAAGTCCCAGAGTTGGGGAAAAAAGGATAAGCATAAAGTGGAGAGGAACTAATAGAATGAGGCTCCAACTACCTAACTGATGAAAGTCACCTACTTGCTTGAATACCATTCTGGTTATTATCTGTACCTCACTGTGAACTTGAAGAAAAGGAAGCAAGTTAGCAAGGGGGTGGGGGAATGGGGAGTGGACAGCTCCCTCTTGTACTTTTACGTATACATGGCCCTCGCTAGAGGGAGAATAATGGTTGGATCAAGCCATGATTTAGTGCAAACGAATCACATTCGTCACTAAACGTAGGATCGATGGATCCGCTGCCTGCCTTTCTAACATCTGGAACTGCTGCTCTGGGGAAAATACAAAAAGCATTGGGAAAGAGCCAACTATTTCAGTTACTGACACAGGAGATAGTTCTTCCATTGAAAACCAGTGTTGCCTTCTCTCAAGTCCCTTGACTATTTCTTATTTTTACTCCTTTTTCCCCCATTTACTTTCCCTTCCGGAGTAACACAGAACACAGCCTTTTTAGAACTGCCTCCCCATGCAAGACCCTTATGCAGCCAAGTTCCCTCTATGCAGCTAAAACTTGCTGGGCACCATTCTGCAGCCCCGAAAGGCCAAGAGCGATTCTACCACACCACCACTCACATTAGATTCAGACACCCATTTTAAACGCTTTCATATAGGATATTGTCGAGGATCTAGAAAACTGTCCTCTGTTTTCATTCCTCCTTGAGACACACTACATTTCCTAACCGCAAAGTCTTTTCCACAAACCCCAAGTCCTTTTTTCTGGGCATCTTCTGGGCTGCTCTGCCTGCCTACAATGTTCCTGTTTTGGGTTTTCCCTTCCCTCTGGTTGGTGGGGTCATTGCCACATCCGGGCAATGCTTTGCTGGCAGCGGCCTGTGGTGGTACCTACTTTCTTAAGCAACAGCCCTTCAGCCTAACCTCAGCAATCAAGTTATGCTGACTTCTCAAAGCAGAGGGAATGTGAAGACCCTCTCAAGGCCTTTTTTTCCACATGACCTGCCACAAGCCACTCACAGCCAACTCATTTTCTTCCATCCAAAGCTGTGTGTGTGTGTGTGTGTGTGTGTGTGTGTGTAACTCTGTAACAGAAATGGAGATAACACAATTAAAAACAGTATGCATGTCATTGGCTTATCAGAAAGCAAGAGCTTCAAACTTCAAGAACTGCAAATCAAGAAAGCAAGTTCCCCTGTCACATCCCTTCTCTCGCTGGTTCATAGTCTTCCTTTGCTGAATTCTAAAATTCACCTGAAAGTTTGTTGCTTATCTGTTTGTGTTGCCCCTAAGTTGAGACTTGAATCCCTGGAAAGCAAGAAAAGAATTATATTTAAATTCTAGTGTCCTAAAATGCTATCAAAAAATGTTATTTAGGATGCTCCTTGGGCTCATGCCTCTCTGTGCTGACTCATCATCTATAACAAAATGTTAATGGCAAAGGGATTCAGAGTTCACTGCACACTCTCATCTATCCAAATACAACCAGAACCAGCAAGTCCATCATAAAAAGTTTTGGAGTAGCCAATTGCATATCATATAAATCCAAAAGTATCAAGTACTAAAGTACTTGCATATCATATAAATCTAGAAGTATCAAGTACTAAAAGTATCAAGAATTTATAACATCCAAACACTAAAGGAAATATGAGGAAGCTTCAAAAGGTTCATGGAAAAATGGAATAAAAAGACAATAGAACTTTTCATAAACTTTTAAAAATAATATACATGAGGACTGGGGGCACAGTGATAAGTTACACATTGGGTTCCTAACCACAAGGTCAGTGGTTCAATCCCTTTAGCAGCTCCACCGGAGAAAGATGAGGCTTTCTGCTACCATAAAGATTTACAGATTCAGAAATCCTCAAGAGCGGTTCTACTTTGTTCTATAGGTTTACTTTGAGAGAATTGACTTGATGGCAACAAGTACACACACACACACACACACACACACACACACACACACACACACCCATACACTAAGACACACACACATGATGAGAGGCTGTTAAGTAAATCGAACAAACACTGCTAGCAAAATATCCTAATAAAAAAATAAATAAAAACTACATAAGCATGAAGAAGACAAATAAAAATCAATAGTAAACATGAAACTACTGATATCATTTCCATTAACAGTAGGGACAATATAAGAAATTCCATTTTGGGGGGTCACCATAAACTTAGAGATTAAAATGAATATAAATAATTATCAAAATATTTAAAAGAAGGAATTGAATTATATTTCCTTATAGATGATGGTATTCTATATTCAAATACTTCAAGTCTTTGCGAAAAATAATATTAGGATTAACTAAAAATTCAAAAATTTTTAAACAATTCCCAGTTAAAATGAGAATATATTCTCATTGTGATTTTTAATAACAAATCAAATTTGACAAGAAAGTTCAAGAAAAATAGGAAAGAAAAGTACTTAGCACCTTATGAAAATTCATAACATTTAAACGGGGTTTTTTTTTTTTAAAGAGGGGGAAATGTTGAAGGAATTCTTATTTTACAGACATCCCTCACAATTATTAATACTGAACATTTATACAAGTCATATCCAACAATCAAATATAATAGCTAATATTTGTAGGCTCTGGCACTGTTCTAATTGCTTTAGTATACTCATTTATTTAATATTTGTAACCATCTGCATCCATACACATATATAGAAAGCCTGACTCCAGAAAATTTGCTCTTAACCATTGGATTCTTCTATCTCTTGAGTCTCATTTCTTTAATTTTACACAAAGGCCCAATCAGCTTAGTACTCCAATCTCGCAGGACACAATGAGTAGATTAGAAATATCGAATAAGGATAAGTAGGGCAAGTCAAGCCCCCGAGACAAGTTTATCTTCTAGTACAGAACAACCAAAACAGTAGATGTAGGAACCACAGGGGCACAACCATTTGCCCCTATTTCTTGAGAAGCCAGTGAGCCCTGTAAGTCTTGGTGGATCACACTACTATCACCTATCACATGATACGCTGTCTGGGATTATTAATAGAAAACGAAATATTACAAAGGTAACCTCATGTCCCCAATATGTTTTCCTTCTACTGTGGTAAATACATATAACAAACATTTCCCATTTCACCTGGCTCTCCATGTGTAATCCAGTGAGATTGATTGCATTCATCCTGCTGTACAACCATCACTACTGTCCACTTATCAATATCTCCATCACACTTATCAGAAGCTCAGTGGTACCTGAGCATGCATGCCATTTTAAAATAATTGTATCCAAGATGTTTAAAATAGAAAAAAATCTTTAAAAATTATTATTTATTTACTTTTTGGTGCCTTATCTTACCCTATCCAACAAATCTATTCACCTACAATTCTGCTATTCACTCCCTTCGAGTGGGGTTATACAATCATCCGTCCTATCAGCTAGCCCCTCCCACTACTCCTCTTCCCATATCCTCAGGGAGACATTACTCCCATTACTGTTTCAGAAGGGTTACCCATCTTTACTTCCATGCATGAAAAATCTGAGCTATACAAATGAACCTACGTAGGTCTAATAAGATTAATGAGTTAAAACAAAACCATAACAGTAAGGGGAGGAAATGTTAAAGAACTAGAGCATAGTTAGGTTTTTCATCAGTGCTATACTGCACCCTGGATTTATCAGCCCTTTCCTTTGGCCCTTCTGTCAGGGACTGCCCAATTGTCTAAGATGGGTTTGCGGTCTCCACTTTGTGCATGCTCCTTCACCTCCATTTGATTGCTTGTTTTTGAACTTTGGATACCCATTCCTGCCAACACCTCATGACCACACAGACTGGTGTCCTTCTTCCATGTAGGCTTTGTTGCTTCCTTGCTAGATGGCCTCTTGATTAACTAAAAGCCTTTAGGTCCCT